AAAAAGTGAAGAAAGGTGCCTATGAGGCAGACGATGCGTTTAATCGTCTGCAAAATTCCGGCTTAAAAGGTCAAGAAAGTGGTCTGCGTGTCTACAACGGTCCTATAGATGATCAGACAAAAGTTAGTTTTTTCAAATACAGCTAAATGGTTTAATAAATAATACTGTCTCTTAATTTCTGGTGTCTTATTTAGAAAACAGTTCCTTATTAGGCGAATTAACGCCTGATTTGGCTCTTAGATAATTGCTATGCATGTCAAGAATTTTCCTAGGTTTTCATTTTATATTTTGCTGTTAAAAGAAACTTATTCAAGCACCGACTTCAACCCGACGAGTCTATTCATCTTTTGATAAGAAATAATCAAACTTGCATCTACTAAAGCTGGTGAAGGTTACCTAAGTAAAACTATACTCAGCAATCAGTAATAGGGTCCATTGAAGAGCAGTCTAAACAACTTCTTTGTGTTAGAATCCACTCTTCCTGAAGATAGTAGCAACATGATTGTGTTTAGATAACAAAGGACATAAGAAAAGCATTATTAAAGTGATTACACACGCATAAATCTCCGTTTTTATCTTCAACCTTAATTTCTTCAGTACCATTTACGTTTGTATGATGTTTTATTTTGTCTCACACTAATGCATTTATTCATCCTTGTGTCTATATTTTCGATTCATTTGTCCAGCTTGCTACTAGTATCAAAGTTACTGTCGAACACACTTATTCGGTCAAAAAACTAAGACTGATGCATTTTGCTGTTTGAAAACTTGCCGGCAGACCAAGTTCATCAGAATCCTAATTCATCTAAGAAACTTTACTGTCGCTGTTCCCAGTTTCTTCAATATTTGAAGATAGATCAAACTCTGTAGAGGATCTAATATACTGAGGGTTTTCTGCCCTATAGTCAAATATTTTCAGTTTTACGAAACACTAGTCTGCTTACAGTGAAACTAGGCCTAGTACTGCACCTACCAGTAGCAGTTCAAGATTTATTCTGACAACATCTCTATCAGGATTACAGGAAAAGGGGCCACGCAACCTTAAAGGCTTATAAGATTTCCCCCATAAAAGTAATAATTGGTTGATGTCTGCTTCGTACTCAATATGACTTCAACATTGATATATGTTTTGTGGTCTTTACTATGAATTCTTCATGAGTTTAAATCTTCCATCACTCAAAGGACGCGTCATGCTCGACACCATTCTGTCTGATAAGCTAGTTCTGACGTTTGATTCTACGTAGAAATCTGAGGTACTCAGTGACCGTGCTAGATAAAAGCTTTCAGCCTACGTTTTATTTGAGACTTTTCAAAAACGTGACCGAAGATTCTAGTATTATTTGAAAACTGTTAACTGCTACATAAGAAATTAGGCTTCAGGCAGCAAGTACGTAGTAATTCTGAATTATCATACTACGCCTAGAACCTGAAAACGGACGTGAACAGTATAGGATCCGGTATAATTTGGTTGGTCAAATGCTTTGCATTAGTTCACAGCTGATGGAACTAGAGGGCAACAACAGGTGGATAAAGATGTCTTTTGTGTGAAGAATCTCATGACAATGTCAATAAAGTGGACAGCCTTCAAAAGTAATGCATATTTTGAAATCAGATAGAATCTATATTTGTCCGCAACGCCTAATTTAAGCTTGTGTTCTTGGATTTCATTACAGGTGATTGAGTCAAGTTTATTATTTCGTTTCCTCTTTACGCTCAGTTAATTCACATTAACTACTAACCTTATGGTTTAACATATGACCATGTGAACTCTATGTACTATCGAAAGTTGGCGATTTCATTAAGCTTTGACAATCTAGTGATTGTTTTCAGAAGGTTGGACCACTTTGTGGGCCAAGAAACGATCTATGAGGTCTGGAAAAAGGTATCTATTTCATCACTATTAACTGCCTAAATTATTTTGCATGGAGTATGTTTTAAAAGAGAAACGGGGTGAAAGCACATTTTATTGAGTAGTCTACGTATGTAATTTGCAGAACCACTGAGATAATTTTCTTCAGAATTTTGTAGCGTTCGCTTTGTTTACAAATAGAGAACCAAGAAAGAGGGCTTAAAAGAAGTAACAACAGGCTTATTCGGGGATCATAAAATGTTTTGCTGGACATCTGTTCCAGCTTGTCAGAAAAACTCCTATCATAATTGACTGATTTATTCTAATACATCACCCAACAGTATCCAAAATATGACTGGATTATAGATAAATGGAACTAATGAGGTACACTGTTTTACTTCTAAGTTACCAGTTTTCCAAAACCAGCTACTTCAAATGAAGATATTTTAGGACTGAAGTATGTATCATTGGTATTTTTTATAATCGGGATGAGATTTAAGTTCAGTTATTTACAATGTTAACTTTGCGGACCGTAATTCACAGCAATTTTGCAACTTCATTTCGTGATGTCAATCAAAATGAGATTTAAAATACATTTTTACACCTAATAATGTTTCCACTTAATTTCATCAAAATTTTGTAGTTGACGTTCCGTAGAGCCGTGCCAGAAAATGTTATGAAAGAGACTGTGTATGGTCAGCGCTTTTATCAGCAACAGCCTTTACAAGGCTCTAACGTAAGTGATTAAAAAAAATAAATGCAAAGCTATTTACTCGATTTAATTCAAGTTTTTAGTTCAGTTCATGATTTGCTAAACATTTAAATCTCGGCTTCCATTTCAGCTATCAGCTGATATCAATTCCTGCTAAAATAGTCAGATACTTTGTGATACTAGCGAAAATATGTAGTACAAAATTTAAGAAACCTTACTGTAGAGCGTACCACTTTCTGACTTGAAAAATGAGTATCAGTCAAAAACATTACTGAAACAGGTTCTCAGCGAATTGAAAAATACTGTAATGAACAAGTTTCTTACAAGTGCTACTGAACTACGAATAAACTGATATGCATAGAAAATAGTGTCAGAATACTCACTTTCAGGTGCGATGCATCTGCACAACAGAAGGAATTTTACCGCGCAAGACTTTAGTTTATAACATTCTTCAGCGTACATTTCAATAAGAATGAGTACTTTCTTTGGGGGTTTGACCATATCAGTTATCCTTTACTAGTCGCATTTTGTCCTCTAAAACAGTTCCAGTATCTTATGAAGTTTCGTCGGTTTCAGTAATACACGGTGGTTGTGCATCAAGTCTAGGTGCTTTCAGTGTCAATTCATTCGGTGCTCGATTCGCAGGTTGCTGCCATTTTGGAATACGAATACTGTAACTTATCCATTTAAAACCTTCAGTTAAAACCTTCAGAAGGCTGTAGTCGTAGTATATATTTCGATTTTAACCGGTAGAGTCATTTTAAAAAACTGTCTTTTTTCAAATTTCTTCGTATCATGCAAAGTAAGTGAACTAATTTGCGCATCATAAGTAGAGGAATATTCAGAGCGATTTTATGTTTTGATTCGGTTGTAATGGTAGGTTGGCAAAACCCTAGGAGAGTTAGAAAGTTTATAATTTCGGAAATGTTACGTTTAAAGTGAAAGTTTTGCATATCAAACTTTTTATATTCAAGGATTGAATATAAAACGTGGAAATACTTCTGATCAATTTTATTTAGCAATATTTAAGTGAAGACCCTCCAGAAAATGTTATAGATGCTGTACATGGACAGCGTTATCACAACCAGCAGCATCTACCTCAAAGTCAAAAACTGAATATACAACGTGAGCTGGATCTGGATACGGTGAGAATATTCATCTTATTCATATCTGTTATTGGAATTTGTTTTCAGTACCATTTACTTTGCGTTATTACATTGGAAAGAAAAAAGTTGAAATCTGTCAGGCAAGATATGCAGACATTTAACCACAGAACGTCAAGGATTTAGGATCACATCATGGTCTGTTGGCCCAGTCACTCGGCCTTTAAATAATTAGCTCAATTTACTACCTGTTATCACTTTACTTAAGTTGGGCTGTGTAAGCAAACATTATCACTAGCTTTTATATATGGATATGTTTCTCATCCTAATAAGTGAACCTGTATGAGGTTGAGTAGCAACAGTTTCGATTGATTCAAGTCAAAAAGTACAGGACATTCAACCCATGTATGAACGGTTGTTAGAAATTTCCATTTCAACAATCATGAAAGCAAATTAAATGAAGAAATGTTTCTTTCAGTCAGCTCCTTATCAATCGCTATACATAATTGTGAACAAACAAAAAAGGTCAGCAGTGAGTATATTGAGTTCATTTAGTAGAAATTAGGGTGCAAAGCCAATCAGTTCTAATGCCCGGAGTAGTAAGAAGATTCGAACAGACATCTTTTGTATACAAAGATCTGACTCATAAAAATGAATGACGATATCTTCAGCTGTGTGTGGTAGATGGATACTTAGCAACGCAGGAGATTCGACAGCAAACCATTAATAATTGTAAAGGTCCCCGGTGTATTCACTTGATATATCTTTTTTTTCTTGAGCATACTATCCCTAGCATGTTTCCGTCCTAGTTACAGTTATTCAAAGCTTCTTCACTGAGATCTGTGTGGTATCAGATACAGCACACACAGTTACTGTATTCTTCTAAAAATAAAGTAAATGCCAAAAGTTTCCTTTTTGCGACAGCCAGGTAGATTATTTAGTCCTATGTAAAGTCTAATTACAGATAATAATTAAAATGTGAAAAAACTAAAGTACATTACATTGGTAATTTTCTAGATGTACGATTTGTTTCTTAAAATAAAAGTAAAGTGGTTATGAAATCAAGACAGTTAGATGAAGCACGGTCGTCATCTTTTGCTTTGTTCAGAGTCTTTTTGGAGAAGAAATGAAGATTGTGAATTTTTTTCAATGCGACGAAAACGTCTGTTCATTATCTTGAAGCTTGTATTTTATGGTGAACGAAAAATGTGACAAGATTCTTTTTAGTATCATTTCTTCCCTCACTGTAAACATATTTAGGAAACTAATAGTATAATGAAATTCACAATATCACTGCATAATTATAAGCACTTTCTCAAGGCTTTAGCATGACTTAATAAGGAGTTTTCGATGACTATAGAATTCGAAACATTGAATATAATTTCGTTAAGAGCCAGATATTTTCAAACCATCAAGTCTAATTCCGGTTTGCATAGGTCTGCATTAGTTGCGTTATCACCATGATCAAAAGAGTTATCATCAGCATTTGTTAGGACAGAAAGATGCACAAATTTCCACCCACGAAGAGTGGAGCGAATTCAGAAAAACTGTAAAATTGCTTTAATTGGTAGGTCGTAACTGTAATGCACTTGATGGTCTAAAGTCATATCCCAAAAATGCAGTGATTATTACCAAGTTCTATAGGTGCACCCTGTGTATAATGACACCATCTCCTCAGTTTTTGATGATGATAGTTTGAGGAACCTATATCCGGTTAACATATCGTGCTAAATGGGTTAAAGCATGTTTTTTGGTAAGGTTATGCATTGAAACTGTGTCTAGAATGAATTTTTTAAAGGTAATATGCGGAAGGTGACACACGTACCTTATTCTGAACACTGAAACATAACTGCTAATATATAGACACAGCTAGTCAAGATCTTACTCGTGCAGGTTTGACTTTGAAATTGTTCAGTTAAGATCTTTTTACTTCTTGGAATATTATTTATCTTTCTTGAAGATTCCTAAGAGTTATCTGCACAAACACCCTTTAACACCATTGTTAATTATACTCGTTTTTTAAAATATATACTAAGCTTCCATTTTTTCTATTCTGCAATATCGTTATTTCATTCTCTTCATTTCCTTTTCTCTTCTGTCATCCAGTTTTTCCAAACTTTTATATGATCACTTTCGTTTTTTGTTCTGTCGGTCTGTAAATTCTTCAATGTGAGTTTTGAACCTGTTGTTGTATACAAAATGATGCTTCTGAAACTGTCTACACTGACTTCTTGTTCTAAAATAGGTAGTGAAAGAGTAGAACTTTTTGGTCTGTTTAATCACTTTAGAAGTTGTATCAACTGAAAGAAGTTAGTTGCCGCAGAATTTCTAGCCTTAGTACTAAAGGCTTATTTGACATTTGTGAAGTTAAGAAATCTTGTCGTTGGTGAGGTATTAATTACGTATCGAAGCAGAAGTGTGCTACTCATCAGTTTATTGTGTCTTGTGGTGCGACTCACGTCTTGGTGGAGAGTACAAGGTATGAGGGCGTTTATCAGTTCGTGGCTGTAAGTGTCTTCGCAGTGTTACTCCTGTGTGGTTGAATCGCCATTTGCATAATGCTGAAAAGAAGCATACAGTACTATGATAAGTAAGTAGATCAATATTTTAAGCTGTAAACTCTGTCACCTACTTCCAGTTTGAGTGTCAAGTGAATTAAGACTGTTGTGGAAGAAAGCTAAGGGTGATCAGATTGAGACTCAACATCAATTCATTTATTCTGTGAATGTTCATCGGAGCTATTTTGGAAAATGTAGGCTACCAGACTGGCGTCCTCAAAGTAATTGAAATCAATGGTTAAAGACTACAATCAACCTACCACTAATGGTGAGAGATTCTTCAGGTCTGTATCAGATGAGGGTGTTTCAGACCCGGAATCATTAAAATTTCACATACAGCTTTGTTGTACGAAGACAGACAATAATTTATGCGCAACATTAATATATGCCGAGTAGTTTGATAATATCATATCAGAAACAGTACCAAACTCTATTTAACCCGATGGATATTAGGTATTATATCTTTCTTCTCATCTGTTACTGAGAAGAGAGTATACTTCATGTTTATTTACGTTATTTTTATATCAATCTGTCATGCTAGAATAATTTTCTTATCATTCATCCTTACAGAATGAATACGAAACTATCAGATTGAACAACAAATATAAGGAAGCACAAAGTTATTCAAGGTGAGTAATGCACTAACTGCTAACATCTCAACAGCTGTTCATTGTACACTCAATTATTTTATCATTATTACTATTTGTCACTTGGGTTCCTAGTGGAACATAAGGCTTCGGTAGCAAATCGCCATTTCACTCTCTTCCCTGCAGTCTTTTGAAGCTGGTTCCATGACTGCTCACAAGCTTTCATTTATTTCTCACACCATCTCCTCCCCGTCACCCTCAGCTGGGATGCCCAACTAGTCGTTTCCCTTTGGGGTTCCACTCGACTGCCTGGCCTGGCACGTGATATCCCCGAACCGTCTCAGTGTATGCGAAATCCAATTCATCACCACTTCCTTCCGCATATTTGTTGGGCTATGAGTTCTTGGTCAGTTCGTTGCCAGCCAGAGTCCTTTGTTGCTTATTCTCATTATTCTAATGATCTGATCTGATCTTCAGCATCCAGTGAGCGTAGACGACAGCTGTTGATGTGATGTGTGTGTGCTGTTTGTTGGAAATGCTTTCCGTAACGCGACTAGTCTCTGAACCATCACATAGAAGCACTGCCTTACTTGACTGAATTAGTGTTGAAAATCCTGATCTTGTTCTTTATGTGAGTGCAGTAGATCTCCACACTGATTTCAGGGAAATGAAGGCCTGTCTTGCTTTTCTGATCCTGGCTTTGACGTCCTCATGCCTGTGCCTATGCCTGTGCCACCTGCAGTTCAAACGATGCTGTCTAGATGGTAGGTGAAAGACACCACTTCCTTTAGGTTTCTTCCGTTCATGGTGATTGGTGCTTGTTGTTGTTGTTGTTGTTGTTGCTGTTTGGGCATCTTCATCACTTCTGTCTTCTCTACATTCACTTGAAGTCCCGTCTTTACTACTTCGTTTCTTCTGCCAACTTGTTGGTTTTCACCTGTGGATCTTCGAGATTGTGTGACAAGACATTAGACATAAGTCATCATCGGTGGCAAAATCCAAATCCTCTTCTGGGGTCTTTTAATCGGTCCAGCCAACGTAGGTCCATCTTCTCACAGCTCCTCACAGCTTGTTGCATGATCCAGTTCAGTGAACCAGTCGATGATGGGTGATAGTAGGCAGCCGTGTCTTACTCCTGTCTTCACTTCAAAGGCGTCACTGAGCTTCCAGGTGTGAATCACCTGGAATGTGGCATCGTCATATAGTTGTTGAGTGAGGTTGATAAAGGTTTGTGGCACTAAAACCGTAGTGTTGAAGCAATTGCCAAAATACTTCTTGGTCGACACTGTCGAAGGCATTTTCAGTGTTGAGTAAGTTGATGTAGAGAGTTGACTGCCATTCTATGCTCTGTTTTAGGGTGATGCATAGCGTAGCGTTGCAAACCTGGTGGTAATTTTGAAGCCGGCGCATTTTTGAGTCTCTCCAAGATGATGCAGCTTAATATTTTGTTTGGGGTGAACCTCATCTAGTCAACTAGTGCACTAGTTACTAGCCAATCCTAAGCCCAGATAAGGAGAGAAGGTTGGGCATAGGGCTGGCAACTCTACCCCATAAAATCAGTTCAATCGCTGAACAAACTTGAAAGCTCAGAAAAAATATAAAAAATGAAATAAACCTATTCCTCTCTGGAATTGGGGAGACGGAATGACGCCAGTTAAGGAAAGCCTTCCGGAAGCCAATTGGCCTATGTGTCTTCTCTCCCTCGATGAAAGTGAAAGTAACCATGGGGACGTGGAATATATATATATATATATATATATATATATATATATATATAAACCTACTTTTGTTTAGTGATAAATTTACTCACTAGAATTTTTTCATCTCAGCTGCGATTATATTCTCTGATATTGAGATAAAAACTAATTGTTTAAAATGAAACGAACTATCCTCAACTTATTTTGACTCTGCTTTCTCTTCTGGATAAAAATTACTTTGATATTTGTTTTCAACTGTACGAAGAATAATATTATGTATTGCTTTGCATTACTTGATGCCAGAACATTTTCTAACTTTCAGCAAATTCATTATTATGTAATTATTGCGTTTGCTTAAAATGTTTATAGTTTCATACCTCTGACAATCCTTCATGTGTGGTACTGTAGTTTACATATATTTCTGCAAATTAAACGTAGATAATCCGTCAGGATCAATCACTTATCTGCTTTAGATAAAAGTGGATCTTTATGACTTCAGGATAAATTTATTTGAATGTTTCCTTTGATAATTAGTGATTTTGCTATCAGGTTTATAAAGTAATTCTTCTTTATTCCTTTTTGAGTGCATACTTCTAAATTCGAATCTGAAAATAGCCTTTGTGACAAAAAGTAGCATCTGCTTAAACAGCCGAAATATTTTAGTCTTATTTGCGTAAGCATGTTCTGTGGCTTATTGCGTTCAAAATTGAAATCTACGTTAAGGCACCTAAGACAAACGGTCAGAAAGTGTTTATCTATGGTGTTAAATAATTAATTTTGGTAATATTGAAAGACAGATACATGAAAACACGAAAGTATCGAACACAGTTTATCTTTGTCGACCTATGTATCAGTGATACGTAGGTTTGTCTGACGACATTTTCTGAGCATGCTTGTTTATTTTGATAATAGGCTTTACTCAGGTATCTGATAAGTGGTGACAGTAAATTTCAGTTCTTTGAAGAGAAAAAGAATGCTATCGAATTCCAACCAATCACCAGGACTTATTTTTTGCATTTTTACAATGCACTTAGCCTTATTAAACAGCTCCATTTCGAAATCCTTCACATAATCAGAATTAAGGGGTGTGGTCATTGCGATTGTATTGCTCTGGATGCTTATTATTGGTTCTCAGGTAAATGTAAATATGCACTTACTAGTGTGATTTTAATTCATTAGAACTCAGTATATCAAACGCTTAAACCAGGTTTCTTTTGAGGCTCGACGCAGATACTATTGATACAGTTCGCACAATATACAATCTGAAGCTAACAATAGCGGTGGATTTCCAGCTGGTGTATATTTATTGCCAGAATGTTCTGGATATATGTTTTTTATTCAGTGGTCCATTGTGATCTAATAAGTTTATCACAGTAGCTTTTCCGGGGAATTGTTGGGAATTTCAAGCGTTAGATAAATTCAATTAATTTTATTAAAGCCATGGTATTTGAGACTTTGTATCCATCTCGAGCGGTTAAAAATTCTAACTTAGATTAGTAGTTGGTAAGTTAATTGATTCCAAATGGAATTTTTTGAGAGATGAAAAGGATTTTAAGAGTCGGCAGTAAGTTTCATGGAAGCCTAATTTCCAGAATTTACAAAAACAGCATTACTACTCTATCTATTCATTCAACAAACTCCTAATCCTCCAAATCCTCCAATTCCTCACTATTTGTGTTGGCGTTTATAGTATCCTTTCCCTTATGGTGAATTTAATTGTTGAATCAATGTATCCAACTCACCTTTTATTCATATGAACATGGACGAATTCCAGTCACAGAACAAATAGTCCAGCGAAAAGAAATCCTTTTAAATGAATTTATTCTACAAAAGCTTAACAGTAGTATGTATTTTTTTCTTCCTTCGTCATTGTTTGTGAGTTTGGTTTTGACGACATGTAATGATGATAGTGGTTGCGTTCAAAAATCGATACGTGTTTTGTCAGTAAGGGAGCAATTTTGAAAAATACGCAGAAATAAATGGCAACATATGGAGGGTATTTGTAAACCAGTTTTATTTATTAACTTAAGGGAACATGATATTAGTAAGTAACAATATTCCAATCAGCCAGGCTTAAACTAAGATCTTTTGATATGAGTGGTGATCATGAAACGTAGATGGACAGAAATAAAAATAGCAAAAACATAAAATAAATTTTTTTAGAAGGATTTACTTCGCTGAACTATTGGACTATTTGTTCTTTGATTTAATGGGTATATTTAGTATATTCTCATCGTCATCCAACTGTAATATACCAGTTTTTTGCATACTGTGACTACGAAAAGTTTTGTCTTCAATGAATTATCCTTGTGTTGTGCCTTTATGTTAAACTGAAATCGGTTGTGAGTGTGAAGGCAATTATGTTGTGTTGCTCACGTTATGAAGCGGGATGGCTCAGCTCCACTGATATACGCTCACCAATAGTATTATGTTTGTAGATGCTAACGAAATTTCTAGATATTCAAACCAACTAGGAATTTAGTGTTTTAAAATAAATTTGTGCATTGGGAAAATGAATCATTATTTCGGAATTCGCATTTCCTACTAAGTGTAAAACAAAGCAAGATTATTTAAAAACATTTTGTTGTAAATTCGCTATAAAGTACGAACATACAAAAATAGTGAACACTTACGTTATTATTTAACAAAAAATGCTTAATTTCGCTTAGAATTCAATTCATATGGCAAATTAGTGTCTATTTCACACGCCAGAGCACCACGTAGTACGGTTACTAGTTTACTGGCGGATACTGAAGTTATTTTCCCATTATACATTCTGTTTCATTCCTCACTTCGAATACTCTTTTCGTCTGTCTAAGCTTGACAAATTTCATGTAGGTATAAGTTCTTAATTTAATACAAAAACATATTTCTTCCATTTCTCCATGAAGAAACTATTAGTTGGATGAAATACTACATAAATAACACTACATCACCTTTAAAAAGGCCAAATAAACAGAGTGAATTTGGGATTAAGATCTACTATGGTGTTTAATTTCTACTACTATGTTAAAATTTGTAGTGTAACTGTAAATGAATGATACCTCTTGGAATTGTTTTCAAAACTCATTTAAAAACTTATTTAAGGTAAGCGTGTCACAGATATCCTGATGATGAAATACCAATCAAATCATGTTCTGGTGTTTAAAACATACACTCAGCTTTTGAACTGATAATCTCACCAAGAACGTCGTTAACACGCTAACGCACAGTGAATGTGGACTGAAGAGATGCATGCATTAACAATGGGCATATTTTAAAAAGTTAGTTCTTCAAATACAGCATTCAGTCGGAAACCATAGTTGAGACTGGTTTCTGATACTTTTATTCCTTCTTTTGGAATATGGTAAAACGTTTCATATACTCAAATAAACACCATATTTGAGCTCAAAATTCATGCGCTTTGCACAAGTCTATGTAACTTACTACTGAAATTTTTCATCGGATTACAGTAGTATGATTAGACGGCGAAAATCTCTTTCCATTTTTATAAAAGTAGTTTTGCTGGAAAAGTGTTTTATGAAAATACACAAGAGTTTTTATGGTTGTATGCTATACACTGAACTTTGTTCTCGATACAAACATTTGCTTACAGACCCTATCAAAGGGGAGGTGATACCATCTATACACGTCCACTTTACTCATATCAGACAGATGATATACAACAAAGAGGGTAAGTAGTTCATACTTATACATAAAGTCGTTTGTCATGTGTCTCATATAGTCACTTGATTAAACATTTCTTATGTGTGCCGAGTAAGTATATTTATTTATTTATTAGTCCCTTGGGTTCCTAATGGAACATAGGGCTTCAGTAGCACGTCTCCAGTGAACTCTGTTCGCCGAAATCTTTTGAACCTGGTTCCACAACAGCCCACAAGCTCTCATTTCCTCCTCGCACGATCTCCTCCATGTCACCTTCGGACGTCCAACTCGTCGCTTCCCATGGGGATTCCACTCGATGGCCTGACGCGTGATGTCCTCAGTCGGCCTTCTCAATGTATGCCCAATCCATCTCCACTTCATTCCAGTGCATATTGTTCAGCGATAGCTTCTTGGTTGGTTTGTTCCCAGAGTTCCTTGTTGCTTATTCTTTCTGGCCATCAGTAGCAAGCGTAGGTGGCAGTTGTTGATGAATGTCTGTAGTTTATTGGAAATCCCATTCGTAACGCGCCAAGTCTCTGAACCATACAGAAGCACTGACCTAACGTTAGTGTTGAAAATCTACATCTTGTTCCACATGTTGAGTGCAGAAGATCTCCACACTGGCTTCAGGCTAATGAACGCTTTTCTTGCTTTTCCGTTTCTGACTTTGACATCCTCGTCAGTGCCGCCTGTAGTTGAAACAGTGCCTCCTAGCCGAGTAAGTATATACTTAGGTGTAAATATATGAATCACAGAACAGAAATGGATAGGTATTCATTCAACCACCCCCTAAAGATAGGAAAACAGTAGTTGATATTGCAAATGAAAGTTTATCAGCTATAAGACCAGTCGATGTTTTCAGGAGGATTGATACCCGCTTGGGTGAATAGTTTGTGAAAAGTATATGTTGTGAGCTGGTAGAAGTTCAGAAACAATGAGCATTGTATTCTATTCTACTGGCTGAGAAATAACTTGTGCAGTACAAAACCTGGCACCTTACACATTGAGTAGAAATCTAAGTATGTTTGGCATGCGTCTCGAACCTATCAACTGCAATTTGATACTGGTCTGCAACTACTCGCACTTTAATGATAGGGTGTGAAGTAGTGGAATGTGTCGATCACTTCACCTACTTGGGGGTTGCACGAACCCAAACGGGCTGGTTGCTAATGAAATCTCAGATCGGAATTCGGCAACTTTTGTCAGTTTTGGCGCAGACTGGCGACATATCTTAATGTTTATCGAAAGATTCGTATACTGTGCTGCAGTCTGTTCTGTCCTGTTATACTGCTGGGAGACATGTTCTTTGAAAGTAGAAAACATGAAGCAGTAACAGGATTTTGATCATGAGTGTCTATGTAGGATTGCCCGCATCTGGTGGAATCAACGTATGAGCAATGTTAAGGTCAGGCGAAGGGTACTAGGGAAGAAAAGCAAGTTGATTGATAAGGTTATGGACCATCATTGACTGGGATGGCTTGGATACGTACTGTGTATGTAAAACCACTGCATAACTGGACGTGCTATGTTGGGAGAAGTTGGATTAGGTTAGGAGAGGGTTCAGGATGACCACACTAAGGCTTGGTACCAGTCCATTAAGTCCTGAGTGTTGGTCTGAGTCGTGTAGGGAGATATGGACTGTCTGGTTTGGCTCCCCGATATGATGGGAATCAGTGGTTTAGGAGGCTCAGTGACACGACTGAGAACCATTCACAAAGGAACAGATGTATTCACTTCTTGATGCCTTCTAAGGCTTGAATTTTGGCACTGCCGTTCATCCCAACGTTGTTTATCCTCTCACATAACTTGATTTACTTTTATATTACATTTTCTATCGTTTTGTTGTTATTCGTGTGCTACTGTTAAGAATGGTAACCTGAACCGATATCCATGTGTGCGATGTTGTACATTGATTTCCTATCCATCTGTCTTATTCTGCATGTGGTCCTATTTTAGGTCCTGATATAGATGGAAGTGCCCACTTAGTGTTAGTTTTTAATGATTATCTGATTGGTTTACTTCTGTAATGATTACAGTGAAAGTAACTGATTCCCCACAGCCTTCACTGTGCTGAGTGATTCCCATAGTAACCAGTTAATTTGTTAAAGTAACTGACATACACAGTGATTCACGATATAATAGTAATGTAGTAAGTTGACTTCAGAAAGCAGAAATGTGCAAGATCAACATAAACAAAAGCAACACAATATTGAGTTAATAACTATTGATACTGAATAATAAGATATTCTCATTTCAGGTAATAAAAGTCAAATAGGAATGAGGAGTTTTCTTTTCAGTAATTTCTCGTCAGTTTCTGCAGTTATAAAGTGAAATTTGTTCACATAGTAATGGCTACAAATTTCTGTGTTCATATTTGAGTTTCAATAAATTTATGATTTCCTTTACTAAGTTAAAATGGACAATGTTTGTCAGGGTGCTTGTCATGTTACTATTGGAAAATGATTACTTTCCTACTTTTGATTAGGTCTGTAATCTCCATAACTTTAGTTGATAAATAAACAATATTTCTGTTTGGACTTCTTTTTACCAGAAACGTTCACGAAGTATATGAACCACGGTACAATTCTCCATACCCAAGTCGTTCAAATCAAGGAGTCGGTGGTCTGCCAGAACGTAGGTAGGTGACATTATTGATATGCATAGAAATGAAATTATTAGCTGACATCTTTGCGAAAATATCATTTGAAAAACAACCAAAGAGTTGGGTAATATGGTACAACCTGCTCTTTTCCAATGATAAATCTAACCCATGTTTTGTCATTACCAAACGATTGTCCGTGTTCAGAACTTGTATTTTTCTCCAGTTCAATATCGATGAAGATTTGTTTTTAGTTGGTTGTGATTGGATTTGAGGGTCTCTTATCAGCCACCTTAGAAAATACGGAAAATATTGAATATTTCGTGAAGGAACTATCTTTCACGAAATTCAATTGGTTGTTTCGGTAGTTGATAGGCTAGCCCTCAGGATCACTTACCATTTGAACTACATTCCAGAGTAGACTAAGTAATCTTATTCTCATTTATTAGATATTTGATAATTGGTGTCTGTTGAGAACGTTATCAATAAAATAAGTATCAAGATATAACGAAGTATTCTACTGAACAACTCGAAAAGTTTGAAACAACTCAGGTTGATCAGTAGACTTCGCAAGCCAGACCAGAGTGATCTAAGCACTTGATAGCCGTTTCGCTCCTGCAAGACCAAGCTCATCAGACAAATTCTGCTCACAGAGCCTGATTATTCAAATCGCCTGAATCTGGCTACCTGATCTTTATGAACCAGGGTACCTATAATAAGATGATCGATTTTCAAACGATTAACAAGTTGATAATCACTTCAAGATGTGGCTGACACCAATAATGCACTTTATTATTCAGTGTAGGATTTCACTTTCATGTTGAAAGCTCATCATGTATTACGATGAGGTAAGTGAAAATCCCGATTGAAACGCTTTGGCGCATTGATAAACATTCTTTAGTTCGAGAGCTTTACTCTTCCACTGTTGGCGTCACTGTGCTTTCGAATATCATCTTGTAAATAGACAGAAACAAAAGCTGATCAGTATTCTGTTTTCGTACTCCCACTGTAATTATTTTCATCACATAGGTGTTTTTAGAATAGAACGATGATTGTGTGACATGGAAAATCTTGTTTGCTGTTATGTTTCTCATGCTCTACTCATCAATTTACAGAGGTAGGTTTGTCCCTGAAGGTATCAACGCTATTCCAAGATGAGTCATACACTTAATTGAGATTTCATTACGCTCACATGCAAATAGACGAAACTAGATGTTTTGTAGATAATTTGGAAGAAGTTTCTGTTGAGTAGAACTTCACTAGATGGTCCTCTAGCAAACCAAGTTAGTATTTTGTGTTTTAACCACGTTTTGTTTTCGAAATAACCCTAAAATTGGTAATAATACTCATTAGGTTTTAATAAGTGATGGTACAAAATCAAAACATTGTGTAGAGTAATTGGTTTGTACCATTCTTAAATGACACTCATATCATAAAGCATCAGTTTTACTTTCGATTCCTTTGAAGATACTAACAAAGCGGTCAAATTACTTAAAAATCTGGACAGTGACTTATAGGAATCATTCCTTGTATGGGTAATCGCAAACAAGTGATAGCAGTGTTTGCTAGGGAAAGTTTAAGAAATACGTGTGAACTTTAGACGCTACTAACGCTTTTTATTCAATCAAATTTGGTTAAGCCCAGAATAATAACTACTGTGCATCTAAACCCGAGAATATTATTAAAACATATCTTGAGGTGATTCTGTAATGAGTAAAAATGCGTTGATGATTATCTACGTCGTACGTAATAGATGTGTTGCTTTTCATCTCTATCCATTACTTTTCTTGTCAGGAATTTTATCTCAGCTCAAAACTTCATTCTTTCAAATTACTACATTTTTCGGTCGTAAAAGGACTAAATCAGCAGATTTGATAAGACACTGAATTAAGCAGGAAGAAGGAAGTAAGTTAAGAAAAAGAAGAGATGACACATGATGTCTAAAACTCTGAGGAAAGTTCTGGATCAGAGCTACTATTCACCTGTGATCATTTAAAAGTCATGTGACTTAATACTTTCAAAAACTGTTTTCTAATAGCCTGCGTAAAAAGCCATGTGCTATTCAAACCATCAGTTTAAGATATTATTACTTGGTTCTAGGTATTGTCCGTGCTTTTACAGTTCAGTTTTACTTCAGACAGTATTTCACACCAGCTAGGGCTATAACTAAACACTCGTTACACACTGCTCAGTGGTTACAATGTATGTGGCTTAACTATTACAACAACAAGTTCATCCTACCTGTATAAAATTCAACTTCTGATTTAAATGTTGACCTGTGAGCAGTTTCAACACAAGTCAGAAATTATTTTAAAACAGCTATAGGATTGAACATGTTTATTGCTTCTGAACTACCTATTCTTAACGTCCACGTCTCACACTTGTGATATGTTATAATGTATAGCCCTGAATAAGCACTCATCTTGTGATAACTAGTTACGAATTTCATCAAATATCAAGAATGGTGATCATGTAACCAGAACCAGTTTTGCTTTCAGTATCTATCAAAAGATCCACGAGGCCCTATAAAAGCCCGAAAATTAGTGAAGCGATCATTGGGATAAGCAAAAAAACGGTTTGTCATTAAACTGTCTGCTGGCTGAACAAAGTGATCTTACATTCAATATATGTGTAAAGTATTTCCAACATTCTCACATTTATCATAAATACTGATGAAAGATTGTACATAATCAGCGTTTAGTTGTTGAGGAATATATGCTGAAGTTATGTGAGTTGGTTAGGTGAACTCATTGCATTTGGTTATCGGCTTGAATGTTCGAGTCTTATTTATAAGTACTGTTACCAAAATTAAAGGGTTACTGTATGGTTGGCAAGTCTCAGAGGGCACTACCTAAGAACAAAAACTGTGTCAGCACCTACATATTTACTGGAGTTCGAGTAGAGAGCCTTCAGAAAAAATATACTTATATGGCTGTCCTTGTCAACTACACTTTTATTCAGTTTCGTTTCATCACTACAATCACAGACCTTCACCGTCTCAAGGAATATATATATATATATAAGGCTTATGGAACGAACTGATACCATTTGAAGTCGTATGTCAGGATTAAAGAGCCATTCGGTGCCATCAGCTTTTCAATGGTTCCTCAACCGGTGTCACTTTATGATGAAAACTACCCTGAAATTTATTTATCTACTGGTTAGCTTACTTTCGTTAGAAAAATTAATTTAACGGGTGGATGTTCTCTGAACTTACATCCTTGAGATCTGGATAGGCAATACATATTCATTCTAGTTAGGATTTAAGTAACTACTTTGGTCAAGCTAGCTCTCCGGGGATTATTGAAAAGAGATTATTATCCCACCTTATAACTCACCTTTAAATTCTACCATCTTTATGAATGATAAATAATTCTTCTTACTGTTTGAACTTCATCCATAATTTGTTACTACTTTGTACCACAGGATTGTCCGAGAGACATACGAGCCACATCGCAACTCTCCATACTCAAATCGTTCAAATCAAAGAATCAGTGGCCTGCCAGAACCCAGGTTAGTGGTTTTACGCCAGCATTGTAAAATGAATTTCGGGTGTATGGGAGAATATATTTGAATGATAGTGTTTGTCATTTTAAAAAATCTCTTTTACTGTTAGTCTCACAGTGTTCACTATCGAAAGGATTGCATTGATTTTGCTGGACAATTCAAGCCTTACTGAAAATGGCTTGTAAAACATATTTTTCCCCTCATGAAACTCCAATAATTTATATTTTATAATTTAGTTATGAATGATGGATAGTGAAATGATGACTCTTAGTTTTCTTCTTAAATATATAATATTTTCAGGAAATTTGTGGTAGTGCTTTTTGTCTTTTTTTAAATTAAGAATTCTTTTGTTCCCGTCGTTGTTCTCTTTTTATTACCTGTATTTCCCTTCACGTTTAGGATAAATATGCAACTGGACTTTAATTCGTAGTATGCACGCTTTTGTCTGTAACTAGTTTACCGGATACTTCTTACCTTAAATTGACCAAGAAATGCACGTCTGAAGCACATAGTTTCATACAATTTATCATTTTAATACCTACTTCTCGATGACAGACGACTTTTCAGTATTGTTTGAGTAATGGTTTACTGATTTCGTATCTTCTTTAAGTAAATTATATGTACGTATTTTTAAGAGTCATGTTTTTAATTATTTCGCATTTTATTGCCTAATCATTAATACTTTGTTTCTTTTCTTCATAGCTCGATTTCTAATAATGGCAATACATATTCTTATTCTGCACCCTTTCGCCCGAATGTGGAGATAGTGTATGCGTAGGTTACTCAACACTTTTCTTTTATATATAGTTAATCACTCAAAAAGCATATGAAAGTTCCTTGAGTTTGAATAAATGTATTGATAAATGATTAAATATTACTTTTTATATCAATATATTCTTTAAGATATTCAAGAGTTCCAAAGTGTGTAGCAATTTTAACAAAGTCTTCATTTTTATATTCCCTGGATATTTTACCACTTATCAAATACGATACAGCATTTAGTCACTTGATGAAGTATTAAAATCCACACTACTGGTTAAGTAAACCTTGGATGGTTGAAACAATGTTGCCTAGAAGTATAACCATTGGATATGCATTTAGAAGATTATCTTAATCCCAGATTCATTGCATTTAAAATCAGTACGGTCGTAAATTGATAGGTTAGAGCAGAAATGCCTCTAAATAACATGTTTTTAGTGGTTTCTAGTTTTCTACGTCAGGTACTTCAGTTAAAGTTGGTCACTTGCATAATCGGGTGTTATGTGCAAAAAATTAGGAAAAGACTAACATGTTCGAAGAACAAAGGATGCTGAAAATTATTTCTTTGGATTATTTGGATTACCATACTTTACTTATCTGTTGTTTGCTGCTGCAGTTTATTAATTAACTTCCTTTTGAAATTTAATCATACTTGGTTGATAGATAGTGTTCATTTTATCTTTGCAGTAGATTGGCTGCGTATCTAGGAACTTCAGTTTTTAAGCCAAAATCGAGAGTAGTGGTCTGTAACCTATCAATAAAAGAATTAATGGTTATTAAACATCTTTTCAATCACTGTACACTGAAGACTGGGGTTATTTATTCTTTTGTCGATCTCGTTGTCTCTTTCTTCAGGGGTTAGTGTCTTTGAAACATTTACGGTTGCCTGCTAATTTTAACGCTGGAAAATGTGTTAAAGTACAGCAACCATCCTGTTACTCGAAACATCTACGAAAAGTTACGGAGATTTTAATGCATAAACCGTGTTTCCAAGCTCAACATCAATTTCAACTGAGAAATCACTCCTTCATATTCCTGTGACAAACTCTAGAGCAAATTCACTTCCAGAAGAACTATTTGGGGGTTGGTGAACATTATGAAGTCACGGTAATAAGTCTGAGTAAAAAATTATTAGTGGAGAATATTTGTAGCTCACGTGAATGGTCTTGGTTGTGTTGTGATCTGTGAGCAGGGTTGTTTAATCGTGAAGCTTTTATTGTCTTTCTAGACTACATCATCGGCACTAACTTCATACTGAAGTTGGTAATATTCAGCGTCATATAGTATATAGTTTATGCCTGTCTAGTTTATTACACTATGCAGTTGTTGAAATGTGGCACATGTGTCTAATGGTATGGTCGCTCATATACCACTCCTTAAAGTCAGTCATCATCTATATTTCTGCCTTAAATTAGTGTTTTTTCTTTCTTATCATCAAATAACAAAGCAGAGCTTGCAGTTTGTTCATGATAGTTTAAGTGATCAAAATAGGTTCGAGTTCAAAAATATGAATTGAATATTTTTGCCTCTAAGAGTGTTCATTTTTCTCCTTTCTAAGCCTTGTTTTTATACCGACGTCTTCCATCCTAATCTTTTAATCACCACAAAGTAGAGCTTCGATAGTCTGATAAGTGTTTTTAAAGGATATTTAATTTTAATAACAGAAGATTTAACTCTGTTTCAGGATTACTGATAAAAAGGAAAGATGGTTATTTTTCGGTTAGAATGGGAATAGAACTAAATAATGTTCAGATGATTTTCATTCCTTCAATATATTTTTCGAATAATACCAAGGATTCATGTTTTACACTGCTCAATAACTAAATGTAGGATATTTGCAGAAATAAAAAACTTACACTTTTAACATTTTAATACTCATTTAGGGTAAGTGGTTAAAAGTGGACTAATACATGATATTCACCCACAACTTTCCGTTTTGGTTTGCTCGATGCTACTGATGATTTAATTGCTTAAGTATGCTGAGATACTTCTTTTGGTGTAACATGCATAGCTATGATTGTCAGGGTGTAGACGGTTTGATAGTGAAATATTTGTTTATCGAATTAACACTGAATACATGCAGTAGGAACGGCTTAGAACCTATTCCACACATATAAAAAAACTCCACAACCCTCATTTCAAAGTTAGAGAATTTGTAGTATACGAAGCACATCTCAAAGTTGTGGAGTTACTTTGATATGACCATGGACCATAAATTATGTCCAAAGCATAATCCAGCAGATAAAACTGTGGAAACAGATTAGACTCTAGTTATAAAAGTGTGTAAAAGGGAACAGTTATACGTGTTTGCTAGATCATTAATTTAAATCTGTAACGTAGTAAATAACGTGTTTTAATTTTCGTGAGTAATCTAAATTTGATAAATTATTCTTTTTTAGTGATGGAAGGCAAAACAGATACATAGACTAGAAAATCGCCATCACTTATCACCAAGAAAGTACCTCCTTCTTCCTTTCTTACATCGGTGGTGAGTGACTCTAACATTATAATAATTGGTCAGAACAGTAATAACGTCTCTTCTGTATACAAGTATTATAATTTATTTCAGAACTCATTTATTGAATGTCACCTCCTACACATATGTTGAATGTATTTCTCAGGACTAACAAGGTTTATTTACCGAAACAGCATTATTAAGTAAGAGAATGAAGAATGAAGTTGAGACAAAGCGTAGATGGTGGCAGACTTGCAACCATTGGTCAACTGCTTACTTACTCAGTACTCTACTGGATGACAGATGCTACTCAAATTCTGCAGAATACTGAACCAAATGCATGTTTATGTTAAGTCACTACTTTAAGAGTGTGTCGTCATATCAGTAACTAATTAGTTATTACTGATTTAAAGGTACCTATGACCATTTTGAAATAATCCTCGCAGTTGAAGCTTGTTTAACATCCATTTTCAAAATACATACATTATTCATTGGAGTGACTCTAAAGACTACCCTAGCAAGAGCTGGAATAACTCATCTGGGTCTCTTGCAACTGGAAAGGCAGATTTCACATACAGAAAACTAATTCATTATTTCGGTGGTTGTTAGATTGACTTTTATGGCCAATCATTGTCTGTACCTTTTAGATGAATGGTTACGAATTATTCATTATGGGTGTCAAATTTATGTATTTGCAGACTAGTTATAACCATTAAGTTGTGAAGAACATATTTGAGGTGGATTTGTACCTCGAAAAAAGATGTTATCCAGAGTTAATTGATGTTGAAAGACAGTTTCCGAATAAAAAAAATTATGAAATCGTATACTATGTACAATAAAAAAATTATAGAGAAGTTGATAAATACAATATATTTTACGCTTTATGTAGTGGCTCATAATTCATTAAGGTCCACTATTCAAGTAATCACTTACTCTGTTTATCAACATTTTCTTTGAGGTATAATGTTCTTATATTTTCGTAGGCTGCGATTAATTACCAAGCAGAATATTTGATAACAGCAGTTACAACTTTTTTTCAGATCAGTAACTTTATTCATATGGAATTTCGGACTTGACAGACTATTGAATAACATAATGGTAATATAGAATCTACATCTGTATAATTCAATATCTTTTCATATAACTTGGAATTTCTAATCTTCGTGTTAAATAAAAATGTTTTATTACTGTTTGTTTCATAATTTATGTTACAAAAATCTGCAAAATTAAGATAATCATACTTCAATGAGAATCATGTATAAGCGCATAAGTTAATTGTAGTTTGATGAAGGTAGTAGATGTTTGCTGATATTCTAGTCCATAATACAGTTTCACTAATGTAGTGAAAAATGAAAGTGTTGATATGTACAGTTGCGTCAAAGCTCATTTGCTCCCTAACATTCTTCACTGGTAGCAATAATTATTAAATGTCAAAACTGGATAATACTCTTAGCTAGTGTAGATGTCATGAAACAAATTTTTCAAACGAAGATGTTATTCATTTGGTTATACGTTGAAATCAGTTGTCTGAAAAGTATGCTTAAAAGAAAAAGTAAATTTAGAAATGTAATCAATGTGTTAATTATACCTCTTGGCACAAAAATAAACAATTAGGTTGTTAACTAGTTGTAGCCACAGAACCAAATAAACTAAGATAGTTGAAACCACTGCTTAATAGTATAGATTATTTGCATACGAAACCTTAACTGAATTAATAGTTCTTGACTTTCTCTTTCAGTGATCTCGTAAAGTTCAAGTTCTATTTTGAAATCCGTGGCCCATATTTTGTAAATGATTAGTTCAAAAGATGTTCTAAAGATATCGTTAGAACAAGTAAAGTCGATCAATTTGTGCCATGAAGACTTTTCGTGTAGTTATGATAATTTTAGTGATGCTATTTGTCTTGGGCCAGTGGATATGTAGTGTCAACCATCAACTGTAGAGGGCACAACAAAATTCACAGAAATCTCTGACTGATCTACAGAATAGTTTACAAAGGCTATATCTAAAAAGTGCAAGGTAGTTTTTATCAAAACTCCGCAAACAAAGCAAAAATACTATGAAAATGTTAGGTATCATCCTCTTGTCCAATAATGGCAGCCATGAATAAAGGTCTTTAGTAATACTAAATTTGTAAGATCTTGCAGACAAACATTTTTTGAGGTTATTAAACTGTTAAAATAACAACAAAGTAGTTCGACCGTGTCAAGAAAAACTGAGAATCCAGTGAAGAAAATTTTCATTTTGATGAGCTATTTTTAAAAGCTTAAAATTCGCATGTATAGTTTCAAAGCGAAAATATATCCTTCATTGGCTAACACCAAAAATGTTTTAGAATATGTAAGTAAATCGTTAAGAATGACAAAGTGGTTGCGTCCAAACAACCATATCATTCTTTCTGTGTTTCAGTGGAATTTAAATATTAATTCGCATCATCGAATCACTGAGTGTCATAGATTATTCTTGTTATTATACTGACAATTTAGGAAGTATTCGTATTGCTATATTTACTTTTGAAGTTAGCTAGTTAGTTGAAGATTATGATATTAAAAACGAAAATATGATTGAATTGCATTTGTAAACAATTATGTATTGCAGTTCTATTTATTTAAGTGAAGCAATACCCGTGAATAGCAGCCGTCACATTAGTATTTCTAGACTGTCAAGGTTTTGGAAATGAATCATGGCGATCAAGACGATAAAAGTTCCAGATAACTGGCTAAACGAACAAATTTCAGTGTCATTGTAGGCTAGTTTTGCTCTGTTATGTCCCCGCAAATAGTCATAACAGAATGTTCTGCAAAGTAGGAAGACGAATGAATCAGTGCCTACAATTAATCTGATGACGTTCATGAGGAAAATTGTCTAATGAGTTTGATCAGTAAATAAATACAATGTCATAGATAATCAGGTTTAATTCATGCAGTTAAGATTCAAACAGTAAACTGTGTAATTATGCACAATAATATTGGCTGAATACTTTGATAATACAGGGTGTTTAGCTGATAAACCAAGAATATGTTCAATTTATTCAAAAAGGAATACATTACAAACATGCAGAGTACTGTTGTGCCTCAGTAGCCTATTAGTTAATACTTTGGCATTTAAAGCGAGGATACTGGGGTTAGTTGTCAACGGGAACATCATCACTCAAATGGATGCAGGTGCATCTATCTGCAAGTCTTAAATAGGGGGAAAAGGGAATTCTGGGTTTCACTGCCAGCCACCAAGTAAATTACGGCAACTTTCATTCTCTTAGGACTAGTGTCTTCATGAACAGTGATTGAAGCGTATCGTGAAAATTATATACAAAAACAACCAATGCAGGTCTGTATAAAAATATACTTTAAGACAAAAAAAAGAATAACCACCTAATTTTTTAACAAGTTAGTTACGTACATTGTTTAATACCTCATAAAAGTCTGTATTAACTCAGAAAAGAGTTTAAGCGTTTCAAAAATTAGTATTCAATAAACAACAATTCACTTTGTACCTTAGCCAAGATTATGAATTTTTATCACATGAATAAAACTCGCCTAAATTAAAAGATTAACTTTCAAAATCCTTTTCGTAATTACTAAATGATAGGTTTTTGTAAGATAAGGAAGTGCAATGGTTAGTTTTAGTAGTTACTGGCATGGCCTTAAACTTTACTCCACAAGATTACTATTTTCCAGACTATGATAAGCATTATTACTGAAACGAAACATAAATATTCAGAAAAACATCTCTATCATTATAATTTATTCAGTTTGAAGTCACATGATTTGAGTGGAGTGTATTGCACATAGGATACTTAATAGATTTAGGAAGTGCGATTGGATAAAGCTTTCAAAAATGCGAATGATATACTTATGTATCAAATTTTTTCAGTACCGCAGTCATAACGGAAAATTTGTAAAATCGTCAGTTTTCAGAAAGCTAGCCACTGATCATCAATTGAAGCAACTGCACATTATAACTCGTAGGGTATAAATCTTTCAGTAAATTAGTACCATATCACTTCATTTATGACATCTAATATATTTTTGTGGAATCGCACTCTAGCTCAGGGTCCAGGTTTGAAGTTTATACAATGAAATTTAGGGTAATATTGTCATGGGAACAAGTACTACACGATCAGTTTTCCTCATAAAATGGACACATCATATACAATCAAAGTAAACATATCTAAAAGCATTTCCGCCAGAATTTAAAAGTTAAATGCTTTGTTTGACACACCAGTATTACAACCAACATGGAGAACATTGAAGTTTTGAATACCGTAATGAAAATCAAAGTGAGCAAAGAAATGACATAATTATGGTCATAATCCAATGAGTGGTCATGAATACTTGATGTGAAGAACACCATCTTAAGTGTGACGTAGTGTAGTCTTTCTTAGGCAATTTGATTCCTGCTTTGTTTCATCAAAACAAAAACAGTGTTATATATATATATATATATATATATATATATATATATATATATATATGTATATATATATATATGGAAGCGAATGTAATGAAACTGGTTCTTATTGACAGAATACTTGACACGAGCCATGTAGACAAATTTGTGGTTTGCAAAGATATGAATCTTGCCTCAGAATTATTTCCTATTTCAAACAATGCACACCCAAACATTAGTGTTACAATGAACCATGAACACGAAAATTACCTAGACTTTCTTGATTTATAAGACAAAATACTCAATGATGGTACAATTGAGAGAACAAAATACTACGAAGATACGTGAACTGGACTGTAAGTAAACTACAACAACTTTTAAAATTTATTTGGCTGTGGTCACCGGAGGACTAAAAATATGAACTAGTTAGGACGTTTTGTTATAAATGTATTTGTAATGAGTATTATATATATATATATATATATATATATATATATATATATATATATATAATATACGGAGCCTGCAGCTGAATGGTTCAAAATCGTTCACAGGTTTATTCACACGTCATTTAGCCGACTCAGAA